TTTATAGATAAAATTCAAAAAAAAATTATTAGTAAATTTAAATATTAGGCCATTTTTCTTTTATATTTTTCTTCTTTTTTTAATTATTAAAAATTTGTAATGATTTTAATGTATTTTTATCAAAGAAGATCAATTAAAATTTCATTTTTCATCTTTAAAAAATTACCTTCTTGAATGATCTAAGGTTAATTACACTATTATGGTCTTGATCTTTGATATTAAGACCATAATGGTGTAATTAATCATGTTTTTAAGAAATTTGCAATTTAAAAAACTAAAAAAAACGAACAAGAAGATGATGTTCTTCATCATCTAATGACTCTTGAGGAATAAACAAGATAATTCCCAATCATGTTTTCTTCCAGTAAATCTTGTATGAATCATGTTAAATTTCTAAAAATTACTCACACCCTGCTCGTTACACGTGAAAATTTTCTAGTGGCATCATTGAAGCATCGTTTACTTTATGATTTACAACAGGAAAACTATTTTCTTTCGGCTCTAAAGTATAGATAAGAAGACGCACGTGCCACCAAGAACCCCATCTTCTACACTTCTTCTAATGGCATTTAATTTCAAGTTTTTAAAGATGTACTAGGTAATTATTAAGTCATTAGGTGCAGTGTTAATTATCGGAGCAACATGACGGATGAGTGAATATTAATAAAGTGCTGTTATTAGTGGAGTGCGTGTTTTTTTCACTCGAATTTCCTACTGCTTTAACACTACTTTTCCCAGCCATTTGTAATTAATGACTTGTCTGTCAATGTCATTTTGCCCTCTTTTTCGCTTCAATCACAGAATCTAGGTCAATTAAAAAGTATACTTTTCCCGAAATGTCAAAAAGGTTTGTCTTGTTTCAATTGCATAAATTTTGTCTTCCTTTTTTTAACATCTAAAAAGGCCCCTTAACTTCTGAGAAAATCTAAAAATTGTATTTATTTTTTTCAGTTTTTTTTAGATTTAAAAATCTTGTAATAAATTATAAAGATTTATGTATTAAAAATACATATAATAATATAAAGGATATACAATATTTAGTTTACACTAAAATCTATAAATTTACACTTTATAAAAAATTTTAAATTTAAAAATGTCATTCTTAACTTATACAATTACATTAGAATCATTTCCAGCATACAGATTCGCATCATATGAATTCATTACAATTGGATACACATTCCTTGGAATACATTTTCTAAAAAATTCAAATCTAAAAAATTCATTTCATAACTGGTAGTGGAACTAGAATCTGTCGTGAATAGAATAGGATATACTAACTAATTCACAGGATATGCAATATTGGATCGATGTACCTTAAAATTCCGCTGCATTTTCTAAAAGCTTTACATTTTTTTAGATGTGAAGTTTCACATTTCTTAAAATTCATTTCTTAATTGGGAGTAGCATTTGCAGCATATTAATTCATTATGATAAGCAAACATCGAAGCCATATTCTTTTAATAGTTCTTCTGTTTTGTATTTCTAAAAAGTTCTCTTTCATCTCAATTCATTTTATTTACATTTACTTAAAAAAATCATCTAAAAATCAATTATAACTGGAAGTAGCATTAGAATCTAATTGAAAATAGAAATTCTGACATACAAATTCTCATCACAGTCATTAGGATAAATGATATTAAACTTACTTTCTTTAAAATGCCAAAAAAGTTGCATTATCTAAAAAATTCAAATGTAAAGCACTCGTTTAATAACAAGGTGAATAGCATTAGAATCTATTGAGAATAGAAATTTTGAAATTCAATAGAGGTTACATGTACAGTATGCCAGGATGTAAAGTAGACTGAGCACATTATATAAATGTCATTAGACTCCTATACAATTATAACGATGTGTTGCACACCAACATGGCATGTAAAAAAATTAAAGCACACGAATCTAACTCTAAGTATAGATTTCGAGTTTCAGAATTATAAAGAAATTTAGGGAGAACGGGGGGAAGAAAATTGCACCTTTTGAACATGGTTAAAGACGATGTCAGGTAGCCAGGTCGCGAGCTTTTTTTGTCCTTATATTTTATTGTCTAAAGCTTTTTTGTCGCCCGCACGTGACAAGCTGCTGGCGCATTATTTATGGCCTTCTGGGTAAGGCACATTGTTCTCGGATGAGACCCTACCATCCTGCTGTGATCACCACCTTTGAATATGTCGCAGAATCGGCTAACGTCTATAGTCAAGTACTGGAAAAAGAAAAGTATATTCATGTATATCTCGAGATAATACTGATAACAAGAGAGAGAGAAAGAGAGAGAAGGAGACAGAGAGAGAATGGAAATTTCGAAAGATAATTTTTTTAGATAGAAAAAATGGAATTTTTGATTCTATACTGAAGACATGTTATTGAGAGATCAATCGACGATGCAATTAGTCGAAATCAAATTCTACATCAGAGATTACTTTGGTATGAATGAAAGATTGGCCTCCGATGACATCAGGCATTGGCCTTGGACTTACTTCCTGGAGGGACTTTCTTTTTTTTCTATTCCTCTTCAGACCGACCGACAGATGTCAGGTTGTCATTTCACGTCATGCTGACCTCAACTGTAGTGACGTGTCCTTCGAGAGAAACGATAGTTCTTATACCTTTATAATAATTTACAAGAATCGCCATCACGAAAACGAATTTCGTCTCTTTGATAAATACATTTCAGTTATATGTAAATTACTTTCAATGTCATTTTAATTACTTTATATATTATGTTAATTATATGTAATATAATAATATAATGAAGTAAATTACAAGTAATGAAATATAGCCTATATATACATACATTTTGTTTAGCCTGTTTGTATTGGCTACACTTAGGCCTAAGATATACAAAGCCTATTATAAAAGCTATAAAAATTTAAATTTTTATTACTTCATTACTTTCTATCTTGTAAGTAAATATACTTTGTCTATTTACATTTGTACATCCTCTCTACTCCATTGCTGTACTTCTAAGTATATATATGTAAAGTGTATCTACTTGAAAACAATGAAGTAGAACAAATATATCTATTTAATCATAATTTATTTAAAGTAAATAATTATTCTAGATAATAATCAAAGTATTATAAATTAGTTATTAAAGAAAAAAAAGAAAGTCATCACATTAAAGAAGTTATCTAAATTACAACAGGTTCCAACTTAAAAAAGCTTAAATGAGTTATAGTTAATTCAAAATAAAATATATATTAACCACGCAATACAATAATTTCATTTGTTATGATAGAAAATTTCTTAGAATTGTCCATTTGAATCTTGAAGCGCATAGAATTTTTTTTTAATTATCAAGCTAGTTTAATCAATTTTCTTTTTCTTGGCATACTACAAATTTATGTAATTTATAAACCAGTAAAAGATTATTTTTTTGACGAATTATATTATCTGATTTTATTTTTCTATGTGCAACTTTGATCCATTCATAAACTTTGCGGTGACGTTCTGCGTAACGTAGTAAGCGACTATATTTGAATGTGTTCTATCCATTAAAAAAAGTTATTAATTAATAATGAAATCAAAATTATAAAGCTCATTTCATATATAATTATGTAAATACCCCTTGGGTCATTTTTATACAAAGCGCCATCTGTTGATGAAATTTAGCATAATTTACTTATAAAATGAAATTTATAAAGTTTTACGAATAAAAATTAAAATAATTTGTGAATTACAAAATTTTTAAAATATTAACACAATTATTTAATTTACTACCCCTTTGCATGATATTTTTATTATCATTTATGTGTATGTTTAAATCTTTCGTTTTAAAAAAATTAAATCTGAAGTTTCTCTTAGAAAATAATGTAATTTATTTTAAAAGGTAATAATTATTATTTATAAAAATGAAAGTTAAACAAAAGTTATTTTTGTTTCATTAAAATTAAGTAAAATAAACATACAGTATGAATATTCTATGATACAGCCAACATAAGAGATAACTCATTCACCCCTTTGCATAGTGTAAAAAAATATGTCTAAATCAAAATGTATTTATTTAATTAATTTGGCAAACTATAATCAACTATAGATTTTCAGGTAGAATTTTATTAGCATGCACTTCCACCTAGCCACGAGTGAGATAGAGGTGCTGAAGACTTTTACCAAAAATTAAAATATGTATTGAGGGGTTAAAAAGAAGAGAATGTTATCAAAAAAGGCACATTTCTTGACACTTCTACTTAGCTATTCAAATAATAATATATTTACACTATTCTCATTCAACTGCGGTAGCAAAGAAGGAAGTTGAATCGTCAGAGCGGTAGGAGCAACACAGTGGCAACCACTCCCAATAGCCGTGGGCTTGAGTAAATAGCCAGTTGACGATAAGGTGAAACTCAAATATTTATCTGCAGCGGCGGTGGAGATTAGGCCTCTCCCATCGATGAAACCCCCCTTCATCCCTGCATCTTCTCCCCATTTTTAGCATTCTCATCTGCCTTTGGCATTAGCATCCCAGTCAATCCAGTTTTTTATATATATGTATATAATGTTGCATTGTACCGAATTCGCTGTTAATGACTACTTGTCAACTAGGGAGAGCAGGTGTGAGAGAATAGTGAGGAAGAGCAATCTAGAAAATATTCTAACGGTATGTTGTGAAGAATCGATTAATTCTATTCTGATCCTTACGAAGGGTTAAAGTCTCCTGAAGAAAGACGTTACAAATCTAATTGATATGTCATTCTGCTAGACGAAAAAGGACCCTTGTATTTCCTAGTTAGACCGGATTTTACTAACGATCTTCAGTTCTAATATAGATCTTATTAGAAATTTTTAAAAAATCATAATTTTCAAAAAAATTCTCTCGAAAGACCCATATTTCAAGATCTTCAATTTTACCATAAAATCTAATTAGGAATTAAACTGAAAAAATATCTTATTGATCTGGAGAATGATTTCTAAAAACATTCCACTGAATTTTATTCAAGTTTTTAAAAGTTATTCCGAATCCTCCAAGTCTTATTCTAAAATCATCTTCCAGAATCTCATGGCTTTTTAGGGGTTTTCTTTCCAAATGAAAACTCAATGTTTCATTTTTTATTGTTAAATATGAAGAAAATTAAAAATGGCATCGTTAAAGAAGAAGTTTGATGAAGGGGCAAAATTAATTAATTAAATAGAACGCTCAATTTCAATTATGTAATTTATCTAGATTGGTTGATAAATGAGAAGAACGATTGGTTATTAACTGGATGCGTACTCACACTAATCGTTTGTTATTATCCGCCATTGATCAATAGTCGGTAGATGCGCGCATGCATATATTAATAGTCGTCGACCGTTCATCCCTTATAAAGCGTCCAGGCATGTCGAGTCGTCTGTTTGGCTCTCCCCTGCGGCCACATCGCGGTGTTTGGCTGTCGGCACGCGACTGGCGCGATCGCCAACACAATGCTGGTTGGCCGTAGGTGGAGCCTAGTATTCATGAGCTTTGGCTTTTTAATGGTGCCGACGGTTGCAGCCATCACAGAGGTGCCACGGGTTGGCCACGCGACTGTTGCTCCTAGCATGGCTTCGTTGACTGTAGTCAGTTCGGCGGAAAACATTACAAAGTTTCTAACAGGCTCCAACGGTTCGGAAACAAAGGAACATCAGACTAGTGAAAAGAATAACAATTCAGAAGGGGAGTTTGTTAGATGTAAAAGAAGACTCCAGATCAGTCAGATCGGTTACGATTTCTCTCAACCGCAACCAACAGCGGTTGCTAGAAGAAATGCGAGAGAGAGAAGAAGAGTCAGGATGGTCAATTTGGGATTCACGACTTTAAGAGATCACGTGCCGTCGGGTGCCAAAAATAAAAAGTTAAGTAAAGTGGAAACTCTCAGATCGGCCATTGAATACATCAAACAGTTACAGGACTTATTAGGTGAGACAGAAACTTCGTTGGAGTGTATGCAGAGTGATGACAAGTTTATGTCTACAGATGGTGACGAATTTGCTGCTGTGGCATCGTCTTCTTCGTCTGCTATGGCGGTCGATTCTGCTTCATCTCCTTCTCCTAGTTTGGGTTCGGACACTTCTTCACCGTATCACATGTTCAGTCCCGGAGAAGACACTTATTTGGATTTCGGAAGCTGGTTTCCATAAACAGGTAAGCTCTTCTCCCTTCATCTTAGAATATTTCTTAAAACTAAGTGTTTAAATACTCTAATCTTGTATACATTTAGTTAATATTTCTAATGTTAATTTATTTTCGATAAAAATATGGAGTATGTGTATGTGTATTCATATAAAACATTGCCTTTGTCTCTTTGTTCAGTTGACAATCTCGATTCGCCCCTATGCCCCGACGACAATCCGGTCGCCATGGCAACAGACAGGCTTGATTCCAACGCTGGCCGATGGAGGGAGCCACCGTGCAAATGGTGCGAGACAACTACCCCTGGGGGCATTGTTCTAAATCGTTGGTCGGCCAGTGTGCTAGACGTTTTCAAGAGAGTATTGTTGTATAGTCTGCCAGAGGTCTATGCCAACCAGATGTCCTATCCCCATTTGGGATCCGACTTCAATTCGAGTAAAGTTGCCCTGTTGTTATTAACTAGTCATCACCATTATCTGTTTTCTTGAATGAACGCGTTGCTCATTCAGGCTCAAAACAATCCAGGTGTACTTATTATTATTATTACAAAAAACTGTCAGTATTAAAGATGTTCCCTCCAAATCCTCCGGGAAGAGCCAATGATAAATTGCTCAAAACGCAGTGTTGTTAATAATAATTAAAAGAAAACCGCGCGATATTTTTTGATATTAATTGTGTTTTTCTCTGTTAATGCTCAAAACTTATAGTATATTGTATTTTATTATATACGATTCCATTGTGGAATATTGAATAAAGAGAATAATTTTTTGAATATTTCCTGTGTTTTTCTACCTTCGTTTAACCAGATCATCGTTTTCAAACAAACTAATCACCGTAAAGAAGTCGTTACAACAATTATAAAATTGATCTTTACGTATTCGAAAAAATCCGTTAAAATGAAAATACCAGATGGCGCCACAATCAAAATTTCACATAATTTAAATTATATGATCCACTTAGTCACGATTTATCATTCCGAGCTACCTCAAAGATTTAAATTCTTCATTTGTGTCACCTCAGCACTAATATTCTTATATTAAAACATAGTATTTTAATCTAATACATATGTGCCGTGTAGGTGCGGGTTTTTTAACGTAACACTGTTAACATTTATGAAAGATAATGTAACGATTGTTTGACAGTTTATAAATCTTCGGTAAACACAAAACTAAAAAAAACGTATACGTTTCTGTTACTCGTAACTATCATTCATAATGGAATTATCGTAACTATCGAAGTATAACGTAATTACGGTCATACGTAACTATCGAAGTAGAACGTAATTATCGACATGCTACATAACTATCAATAACGTAACACAACGATAGTTATCATTTTCATTATATTCTTTCTTTAATTTCCTGAAAATTGTTTCGGAATTACTTCAAAATTCCGTACATTTAATTGATTGGTTCGTTTAAAATTTTGAATTTCGAAATTGACATTTTTTTTTAAATTTAAATATTCAAATTGATATTCTAAAGTTGTGTTATAAGGAGGGTGCAATTTGGTCGTATTTCTGTGTTGAGGACGCATTCCTGATGCCTATACGTCCCAAGTCGTTAACACTTCAAAACTGTTAAGTGTTGCGACGACGGTCAGCGACACTGACAGGCCACGCGACCGATGCCTAAAGCAGCTGGATTTGGCACGCGACAGATCTGGTCTGTGCATACCGAATCACAAGTTGGACGAGTTTGAGAATTTAGTTGCTGCTACGACGGGTGAGAGGGATGAAAAAAACGGTCGCCATTCAGTCTTGACACGAGACGGCGCCCTTGATGTCAACTTAGCAGCCTCACCTTGCTCACCCTTAGGTTTTTCCCTCTAAGAAGCATAGGCAGATGTCAGAATATTGTTAAACATCCGCACAGTTTTTTGGGGACTTTAAATATATATTTTAACCCCTTAAGTATCAATTGTTCTATAGAATGATATAGCAGAAGTAATTCCATATCATGCTGATGTGACAATTACATATCTAGGTTATACATTGAATCATTAATATATGAATGAAGCGAATTGCATCACTATAAATCACTCTGGTATTGTATTTAGAAATTTTTTAAACACAATATAAAAAAAGAACTTACAAAGACTCTAAAAATTCCACTATACAATACAAAAATATAGCTCAAACACGAATCTTGTTGCTGAAATTCATGTAACGAATGACTGTGTATTAAAATGTATACTAAAATTTTGTAAATTTGATTCTAAAAATTCACCTAAAATTTTTATTCTCCCTTACAAAACATTCAAAGAAATCAACTCAGACGACATCCATACTCGGACGATCCAGCTGCTGACTGGAGCGGGTCTACACCTGCCTTTAATCACGTGATCTGGAGGGGGTTCTTAGATTTTTTTTTATATCCTTAGTCTCTTGTTCTCTTTCTCCACGTTTCGAGCATTTAAAACGATTTCCGATCCCAGTTCAATTGGATAATTATATAAATCAGTAGTAAGATACTATCCTCCTTTAAAGATCCATTAAAATTATCTTTCATATAAGTAGATGATCTATGCTACAAATATACAAGTGTACCTCATATCCAAGTGCACCGCACCTCGTATAAGACTGTACCTCATTCATGGAGTCGTACAAATTCATGTTTCGTACCATAATTATGGACATAAAATGAATTTTAAGCGGCATCATCCGTTATCAATCCATCAAAGTAAAATTTTCACCCAATTTAAACTAGATACAGTAAAACTCATTGTAGATTTCTTTAAACAAATAAATAAATTTTTAATTATCTTGTGTAAATTATAATAAATTATCTATAAAAATTTACATTTTAGTATCCTTATCTGGTTCTCTAACATAATTATAGTCGATCAGACGTGCCTTAATGGACTCAGGGGGAAAAAAATTGAAAATGAACGTGTTAGAAGTATCTTGCAACACGGAATTTTGAATCTGATTTAAATTTGGATGTAGTTTTGTCACATTTTAAGTTACCTTAAAGTGTCAAGAGACTTTAAAGAATTTAAAGTCAGCGAACTTTTGGGTTTATTATTAGTGAATCCATTCAAAGTGATTTGTGACAAGTCACAGCCCCAAGGTAGAGGCGTAGTAACAACACGGAGGTGTGTCCACTGGACTTAGCCACGAGAGAAGGGGTTGGAAAGTGGACATCCAGATTAATTATGCCTCTACCAATCACACATAAATACAGCACAAGTTAGAAAATTACAGCCATTGTAAGAATTTCCGGGTTATATCCGATAGACACTGGGAGTGTTTTTTGTCATACAAACTACAGGTATTAGATGGACGTTGTCAAATCCAGACTGCAAATTATCAATCGCTCCACCCTTCTTCATCGAGTATCTAATTGTGTGAGTGTATAATGGTCAAGGGCACAGAATATTTATCGCTTACTCTTTATTTTACTACTCTTAAAAACTAGGATATAGGATGGGTTGGGTGGTGTAAAAACTGAAATTTATGTTAATGGTGATCATTGGTGCTTTATTTTGACAATTATCCTACTCTAATTATCCAGCTCACTGAAGCGCTACATTGGTGAGGTTTATAGCCACAAAAGTGTAACTAAAACTTGGAACTCTCAATGAATTATAAATAGTAATCACGAGATATGCTTGATTTAACTTAGAATCAGGTTTGAGCCACTGGTTCAACATGTGGTATCTTCAGAGCAGCATAATGATTAGGAAGGTTTATAGATACAAAACTGCAACTAAAATTTGGAAACTTTCGATGAATTGTAAGTAGTTAGCACCGGATATGCTTGATTTAACTTCAAATCGGGTTTCAGCCGTGGCCAATGTATAGGTACTTCATAGCAAGTTAATCATTATAAACGTTAATAGGCATAAAACTGTAACTAAAATTTGGAAACTCGATGAATTATAAAGAGTAATCACTGATTTAATTGTGAATCATGTTTTAGCCACTGTTTCAACGTGTAAGACCTTCAGAGCAGATAATCTTCTCTAATTATCATACTCTCTACGAGATATCTGATACATTTTTCTATAAATCTTAACATGTCCATCTCAATTGCTTCAAAAGTGTTATAATTTGTAGTAAAATATGATAATTTGATTTTTCTATGATTGGATAATTAATAACCCGTAAGATCTCTAAAACTAAACTCGTAACTGAATCTGATTATAGGGATTAAATTGTGAAAGTAGACATAAATAAATGGTGACGTGCATGTTGTGGATAATTGATTCTTGCTTTATTCAATATTCTGACAAATATAATTGCAAATAATTCCACGAGGGAACTCCTTTAGTTCCATATCATGCCGTTTGATGGCGTTCCGTTCGGATGATAGATGAGAAAACCACGTGATGCCAATACTAAAGTTAGGGATGATGGCATATCACTTACTATTGTTTTCGGAGGGGGTTGTAAGTTATTATCGATCTTAAGAAGAATGTTCTGCCAATATATAAGAAAGTTATTACATTTTACTAGAATCTAATATGAACAGGACCGAGTTATTACTTAAAATAATAATAACTTGAATGATTTCTGATCGAATTAATTATGTTTAGAGGGATTATTCTTTACACGAGGGCACAACATAAGGGAAAAAAGCAATTAAAACTTGTTAAGTCTAGTTTATGTGAAACAAATAAATCGAAACTTGAAACCAGAAAGGTGTGAAGATGCTACACTTAACTGCAAGATGGTGATGTAAACTAGTAATTATAACTCTATAAAAACTTTAATTATGGATTTCTATACACCCTCTTTCGCTAGGTATTTTCTTAATAGATTTATATGTAGTGTAGCTTGATAGGTAGTACCATGCTTGCGATTTTATCATCGACAGTAGAGAATGATCCTCCTTACTGTCAGTTTGAAACGATCCTAGACTTGGAATAGTTGTGACAACAAAGAAGGCCACACGTGTGATGAAAGGTTAATCCCTTTGTGTTGTGATAATCCTTTTCCTGATATATATAGATCTTGTCCACCTTTTCCTTAATTCTATGACGTACAGCATGCCTTAAAGGGAGGAAAATAAGTGTGAAATTTTCGAATTTATTATTTTATTTAACCATTTCTTAATTTAAAAACTCCAAAATGTTATTTTTAGAGCGATAAATTCAAGAAATTCTACTTTTAAATTTAGTGTGGTTTTTTGGAAAATTGTTTTGCGGTTTTTTTAGGATAAAAAACTACTTTTAAAAGACATCAAGAAAGTAAAGTTTGTCAAAAAAATTTTTTCAGAATGAAAAATATCAAAAAAATTCTGGGTTTAAAATTTTCCTCAGTTGAACGATTTTGAATGTTCTTATGTCATTATGTTTTTATTTTCTAGAAATTGACTATTCTTTGATCATTTAGAATTCTAGAAAAGAAAAAAATATATATATTTTCTTGGAGAAAAAACTGTATTTTTTTAGACACATAAATGAGTTCTTTAGAAACTCTAAAAATATTTATGTTAAAAAAATTCAGATAAATTATCCAGGTTCATCGGCTGCTGAATTTATATAGATCTTAGTTACTGTGTGGCTTTTAGAATAGCAAAGAAAACATAAAAATCTGTCAGTACTATTTATAAATATAATTATCAATTTAATATTCAAATAAAACAAAAAACTTGTTTAAGTATTATCGTGAGGTGTGGAGAACTGTTACGTGAATGGAGTGCACATTCCTAAGTTCACATGCTTAAAGACATATATTTAATATT